AAAAACATATATATCATTACCAAACATAAATGAATGAAAACCAAACACAACATAGTATTACAAACCTATCTCATCACTATTTCAATTATTGTTTTTGGTAAAATACCATATATAAATAAATATTATGACGATCTAAAAATTAGTCTTTCTATGACTACCATTTGAAAAAAATAGAAACACATTCCAAATTTTTCATGTCTTATACATCATGGCTACTATGCATGATGGGAAGATTTAGCATAAAGTAAAAGAGTGATGATATTACATTGAAAATTCAATCAAATAGGCTTTTTTAAAGGTTAGAATCATCAAAATGCAACACTAGTACAAAAATATATGCCATCCATAAAACATATTTAGAGAACTATTATATAAGATATAAGCTTATACATGCATACAAGATAATATCAAAACAAACATATATATCATTACCAAACATAAATGAATGAAAACAAAACACAACATAGTATTACAAACCTATCTCATCACTATTGCAATTATTGTTTTTGGTAAAATAGCATATATAAATAAATATTATGACAAAATCACAAATGACTATATCATTCATGGGCTTAAAAGTATTTTGAAAAATTCATAACCCATCAAATTCTTTCCGAAACTGTATTAAAATGCATGGCTACTACTACATCGCCTAGCTTAACCGAGAATGTCTTCATTTTTCCGGCAATCAGTAATAGGTGCAAGACACCTTCTTCTTATGCCCGTTCTCATCTACCTCATTAATTTCTGTCATATCTTCAAACAAGAGTTCCGCATATTGTGGCTCACTGAAATAGTGGAATTTTTTTTAAAACCAAACAAACTTTAAAAGTCTCACCTTTTTGCAAACTTCAAACTTCAAAAGTCTCACTTGTCTTCGGTTTCTTTCTAAAACCCTTTTCTTCGTGTATATTTATGCTGAGAGAGGGAGAGAGAAAAGACAAATACTTGTCTAAGGTGAAAACCTAATCTTTTTTTTACCTAAGGTGAAACGGTGTTGGTGCTGCAGTGCATGGGAAAGGATCTCATTTGTGGAACACCACTTTCATGTCTTTTTGCCGAAATTGGAATGTTTTTCTTATATTTTGGACCACAATCTCATTTAATTCCCTTTGTGTTTCGTTTTGGCCCTATTTTTTTATGGGGTTTTTTAGTAGCTACAAATAATGCCTTTACAATAACAAACATTGAATAATACACCCCCAAGAATTTGCTTCCCCCCTCCATTGGAATACTAATACTATATACAAACTATACTTAATTAGTGTGTGTGTTTTAATTACCCTAAGTTCTAAGAATTAGAAATTAATTGGAATATTAGTTTTAATTACCCTAAGTTCTAAGAATTAGAAATTAATTGGACTTAAATATTCGTATCAATTTTGTATATATATGCGCATGTGTGGGTGTGTTTTCGTTTCATTGTGTAGAAATTAAAAAAAAAAGGGGCACACCAATATGTAAGTTATATTCGCGTCACTTTTCTGCATTTTAGCGTCAGTTTAAAAGAGACGTAATCACGTAAATACACACCAATATGTAAGTTACTTTCAAAACTAATAATTTATTACTAAATTAAATTGTAATTCGAAAAAAACTGAACAAACAAAAATAATTAATCAAATAATAATCACACCATGACATCATTCATCGCCAATGATCTGGACACAAAACATAAAAGATCCAAGTCTTAGTCATTTTTCTATGTTTTCAAACTCACAAAAGAACTAAAAATTCATAAATCAACCATGTCATAATAAACATTCTCGCTAGCTTCTCTTTCTGCATTTTTCCAATCTTCTTTGGGGTCTTCTGATCTTCTTCTTGGAATTGGAGTCAATAAAGAGATTACCTATAAAGAAACGACAAAAGGCCAAACCGATATCATTACAAATATTGGTTCTAGGTAACAGTCTGTGTAGTTGTCAGTTGTCACAACCAAATTTCCCACAACCAAATTTCCCACGAAAGGAACTTGTATTACAATGGTCATATCTTCAATTACTAAGACAAAACCTTACCTCCATGTATTAATTTGATATCTCCTCTTTGTCCTTATCTATGATAGGATCTAACAAATCCACTTGTCGAGACCCTCCATACATCATTAAGAGTCTTATAAGTTCCTCTTAGCACAAAAATTAACAGTGATAGAAGGTTAAAAACGGTAGCTGATGTTTACAGAAATTCAGCGGAGAAATATGATTTCCAAACTGCCAGCCAATTAACACACCTCAAGAAGTAATTTGCAGTGAGGAACTTTCTCGTTTGTTTTCTCTTCCACGTTCTTCTAGTAAGTTTGAATTGTAAATATAGTATGTTTGCAACAGTATATAAATAAATTTGAATTGTAAATATAGTAAAATTATATGAACATGTGGAAAACAAACCAAGAAACATTATCAAACCAATAAGATAGAGTTCAACTTAAGAAAAAAATTAACTAACCGAAATAAAACTATATATGACCTCATAATTATTCTAAGCTGATTCTTATTCAAAACCTAACGACTTTTTTAGAAATCAATTTTAACCAAAAAAAAATTGGCTCTTCTAAATTTGAATTAAATTTTTATGATCTTCCAAAACTTAGAAAATTTGACACAAAAATCTTGAAATAATAATTAATTTTAATCAATCCCATAATAATTTAATAGGCTTTGATGAGACGTTAATGGAGCACACACACGACCTCTGTTTTCACTATCTCATTCCCATGTAAAGAACCTCCGTCCTCCGGTTCAATTTCCAGTGAAATTCAACCACGACGACCCTTTCTAATTATTCCTCTAGATCCAATCCCAAATTTTGAACGTGTTTGCTCCATCACCGTAAAAATGTATCCACCGCCGATTCCCGGCTCCTCCTCCTCTTCTTCTCCGGCGGCGGATGTATCGTCGCCGCTTCTAAATCGAAACCGGCGTGCTCTCTCCCGTTCTTCGCAACCGCTACGTGGCGCGGCGTCTCGGCTTCTTCGCCGAGCTAGCAGTCGCCGGATGATGCTCCGTGAGTCATCGGTTCGAGTCCGTGAGAACGCGGCTGAGCAGATTGAGGAGCGACAAAGTGAGTGGGCGTATTCGAAACCGGTTATAGTCTTAGATGTGCTCTGGAATCTAGCTTTTGTATTCGTCACAATTGCTATTCTAGGGTTTAGTTCTGATGAGAATCCTCATGTTCCTCTTCGATTCTGGATTATTGGGTACAATTTACAGTGTTTGTTCCATGTTGGATGTGTAATTGCTGAGTATCGTCGTCGCCATCGACGACAAAGTGATGATTTTCCCAACGAAGATTCTGTTTCGGGTTCAAGCTCTAATCACGGATCTAGTGAAGATGAATCTGATGATTACGCCATTGGAGATGATTCTCAGATTGAACCTGGAACTAGGTAAAGCTTTAAGCTTGCTTGATCCTTTCTTTATCTCCCAAGAACCATTGATGATTCAATTAATGTTCATTGTAGTGTTGCTAAGCACCTTGAATCAGCAAATGCAATCTTCTCGTTTGTTTGGTGGATCATTGGGTTTTATTGGGTCACTGCTGATTCTGAGGAACTCGCTCAAAGTTCGCCTCAACTCTTCTGGTTTGTTTTCGAAAACTTTCTTATGTGTTGTTTGAGCTTTAGATGGATTCTTGTTTCATTTACTTTGTGTTACTGGTCTGCAGGCTCTGTGTTGCGTTTCTCGCCTTTGATGTTATCTTTGTAGTCCTTTGCGTTGCTGTCGCTTGTCTTATTGGTATTGCTGTTTGCTGCTGTTTGCCTTGCATCATTGCGGTTTTGTACGCTTTGGCAGATCGGGTAAAGTCAAGACAAATATCCGTTTATTCAAGACCGGTGTTCTCGATGGATTGTGTTTACAGGGCTTTTATTGATGTTTCAGGAAGGCGCATCGGATGAGGAGATAGAAAGGCTCCCGAAGTTCAAGTTTATGACGGTAAGAAACTCAGAGAAAGTGAATGGTGAGATACGAGAAACTCATGGAGGGATAATGACTCAATTTGGTGTTGATTCTCCAACCGAGCGTGTGCTATCAAGCGATGAAGCTGTAAGTTAAACCCATCCATGTCTGAAATCTAATCAATTATCCAAAACCGGAGACGATCATTGGTACAAACAAATGAATCTTTTCTCTCTTTCAGGAATGTTGCATTTGTCTGTGTGACTATGAAGATGGAACAGAGCTGAGAGAACTGTCATGTAGACACCACTTCCATGAAGCTTGCATAGACAAATGGCTACGTATTAACGCCACTTGCCCTCTCTGCAAATTCAACATTCTCAAAACCGGTGAACAAAGTGGCAACGATGCAGTATGATCAAAGTTTTCTCCATTCAGATTTGTTTATCGGTGATCTTTGACTCTCTCTCCATTGTTAAAGTTTTAGCTTTAATATCGCTGTGGAAACTTGAGACAACCGGATGGGGCTTGAGTTCTTTCTCTAGTATTTTGTTGTATAAATGCAGTAAGTAAATAGTTATATTACACAACTGTTATAAATAAATGTTGAGATTACTTTTATGTAATAGTTTGAGGTTTTGCCGTGTGGTTTGAGTGTTTGCAACAACTAAGAGAGAGAACTAGTCTTCATATGCACATTGTGAATGTAGTAGACGCCCACAAACTTCTACCAAAATGATTGAAGAAACGTTTTTATCACTTTATAAAACAGAATAAAGAAAGCAACTTCTTAATTGATTAAAACAATTATTGATAATTTATTAAAATTAGTTAGTATAAATTCACTTGAATCAAGACTTGGTTAAAAAATTAGGACAAATGTGTGTTTAGATTGGTCATATAATAAAAACATTTGGTAAATAAAGATGATAGTTTATTATTAGGATGCTAATTACGATGGTTTTTCAAGCACTATTTATCCACTTCTGGTACATATTTTTTTTTTTTTCTTCTGGTACATTTTCATAATTCATTATTACATAAATATATCTTCTAGTTTCGAAAATAAACAAGACAAGAAAATGAGAAGAGAAAAAAACAAAGCTCAGATGCGCACCTGACTCGTCTTTCTATCAGACGATGGTGATGAACCCAAATCCATCAATATGCGCAGTTTTCCTCACAGCTTCGCGTCCCCCGTGTCGAACCCGGATTCCCCCGGGGATCTAGAAACACGGTAACCACCAGACGACTAATTGTTTTTGTTGTCAGCTGAGAACAAAAATATATATATAGTTAAACGATTGTAGTGGAAATGGGAGGTTTCATGACTAATCTAATCTTATTATTTCACAAAAAAAAATCTGAAACAAAGCTAGTTTTTTTTTGTTTCTATGTTGATTCAAATAACAAAATCGGAGTCACAAGAAAAAAAAACGATCGTTGAAGCTTTTAAGCATGAGTTAAATCATCAGAAGAAGACTCCAAAGTTAAAGATGGATTTTATTTATTTATTCATTTCATAATACGTATATTTATCAGATTTCATGATAAATCAAACGTTTTTTTTTGTTTGGAATAAAAACATGGCAAAAAAATATCAAGATAAATCTGTGCATGCATATATACGAGAAAATAAAAAACAAAAATTAAGACGGCCGTTGATACGCACACCAAACAGGAACTCCGGTGACTACACGACCACCGCCATAACCAGCAGTCGAAGCCATTGACGAAGATGTCCTCGGTCTCCACATTTGATTATTCGACGCCGCGGTAGCTTGCCAAGAACACGCAGCATAATCCACCGGAGCCACCGCAAACGACGAGGATTTATCATTACCGTCAGGTTTCACCATGATAGACACATTGACGATTCCACATTTGTCACCGTACTCATCTCTCAACCTGTAACTCAAGAAATTCAAATGCCCTAGTGGAGCAAAACCTCCGATGAAATCCGTCACCGGAATCTTGGCGTAACCAACATTTTTGTCACTCCCACTACTTGTGCGATAATAAACCTCAATGGAGATAAACCTTAGACTTGCGTTTATTGGCATCTCCATATCGAATTTATCTTTCCAAATTGGATAACTCCCTCCTAATTCGTCCAATTTGGAAGCCCAAGATTTCTCATCGATTCTCACGACGCTGTATGTTTTCTTCTTCAATGGTTTTCGATCTACCTTGAGTCCTTCCGCTGAGATTACCTCAATCTCCAGTGATCGTTTCACTGTTGAATACGACATGGTGTGTTTTATGTTCTGTGTTTTTATGTTTCTATGTATAAGTCTAATCCTCTTTGCAGGAGATTCCTTATTGTTTTGTGTCGTGAACTTTGTTGGAGAAGATGAGTTTATATTATATAGCTTAGCTAAATTGACTGACGAAGACCCTCCCTTTTTTCGTAGTTGTTTCCACTCACTTTCTATTTTTTTTTGTTCTATCTTTTTTTCCGGGAAAGTGTCAAAACATATTTCTCCACATTCGACCGTTGTATAATTTTAAATTTATTTATCCTATAATGGGTATATATATATATATATATGCTTTCATCTAATTTATTCTTATTCTGAATTTGATTTGCTAGATAGAATATTATTCCATGCTTTTCTCAGGGGATGATGGAATAAATTAGATATGTTTTTAAAATAGATAGGAATAATGACGTGGTCCATCGGATGCAGGCCCGGCCCAGAGGACAAGCAGCTGAAGCCAAGGATTCGGGCCTCAAAATTTGAAGGCCTTTTTGGTTAATTTTTTTCTTATGGTTATATAATAAAGCTATAAATATTTCTTATAGGGCCTTTAAAAATAACTGTGGGCTTTTTGATATAGACTAATTATTATCTTTGTTTATAAAATTCTGATTTAACTTAAAACTATTTTTTTATTAAAAAAAAACATTTTCATTAAATATGATGTTTTGGATTTGATTTGTATGAAAAAAATTGTCAAAGCATAAACTTTGTAAGTTTCATATTTTTATAGTACGTACTATTGATAATATGTACACGTATTTGATTTTTTTTCTTTAGTTCTAATTGTTTCACAATATCAATTCTTAGTTTTTTCTGTTTGTGTGTTCATCTTTTATTTTTTTTACTTGTTAGAGCTCGACTATGTGATTTTATTTATAGTACTATTATATGTAGTTTTTTTTTTTTTGACAAATATGTAGTTTTTTTTTTTTATGATATACAAAATGGGCATGTTTTAAAAAATTTGCGTAGGGCACTCAAAAGTGTCGGACCGGCACTGATCGGATGGTTCCTGGATGCTTTGGCCGGTGGCATGATCAACGGTGGTGTGCGGCGTGAGAACATAGATGCGTGTTGCAAATTATTAATTTTTTTTTATGACGACATCACATTAATTTAAAGTTATCCAGTAGCATTAATTTTCCAAAGAATAGACGCGGCTCCACTACAAAAGTCCTCTACAAATTCGCTTTTAAATTTGTTTTGTTCAAATACTTTGGTTTTCCAAAAAAAGGAATAAAGAAAAAGAAAAAAAGGCCTCAGGCCGTAGAAATTTCACCAATCTCTTTTTTGTTATACAATTAGTTTTGTCAACAAGTGCAATTTAGAAAAAAATTTCCTTGTATATTATAATAGGCATCCACAAAATCAGAAACTTAATTAGTTTGAAGAAAACTATGAAAGTGGTAACTTAAGGACTACAATTGCGTACGTAGAAACGTAATCTTTTGGAAAAGTCATTGCAGTCGTTGATACGGCACGTGTCGTACACAAGCGATTTAATTGACTTGTTTTAATTTTATTCCTGTTTTTAAAGGAAACTGGGGCGAGAATTCGACAGAAGTTTCAGGTATTTCTTGGTTCATTCTTGCCAAACGTCGTCGGGACGCGTTTTTTCTTGTTTTGTTTTCTACACCAAAATAATCGACTAATTTCAATGGCCAGTTCATAATTTCAATAACAATTTCATCACAGAATGTAACAGACTATATAGAAACTAATCTCGTATAATGTAACTAAGTGCTCTTATAATATAGTGATTGAAACGTTTAGAGAGCAATTAAACCCTCTCGTTAACACGAAAAGCTGCAATGGCCGTTGGCTTTGCACGAAGAACACTTACCATCCGAGAACACACTAGAGCCGCTTTCTCACATTTGTGTATATATAAATGATCAATTCTTTTGACGTAACAGTTAATTAATACAAATTGGCATTGTAGTCGTAGTTACGTGATTCATCCAAATTCAAAGAGTGGATGTAGGTAATAGCTGGGAAAGGTAAAAACTAAAAACAGGTCTTGAAAATCTTGGCCAACTAACACATGCATGCCTGCCTATACATTGTACGTATAATTACCTATTATTAGGAATGTGGCCTAACTTAACCCAAAAGCTAGTTCAAGAGTTAAGGATTGTCACATCCTTTATATACTACCTAAAGATCTTAATCCCAAGCAATGTGAGACATTCTAATAGGCCTCCTCGAGATGTGGGTGGGAAACGGTCCAACGGAAAACAGCCCAAGCCCAACATCTCGGAAATACAACAAGACATGCCACTTATATGGGCCACATAGGTGGGAAACCATTTTTGTGGGAATTTGCTTGTTGGGCCAACCTTGGGCTCTGATACCATATTAGGAATGTGGCCTAACTTAACCCAAAAGCTAGCTCAAGAGTTAAGGATTGCCACATCCTTTATATACTACCTAAAGATCTTAATCCCAAGCAATGTGGGACATTCTAATACCTATGTCAGCATCGTGTCGTGAGCTAAATTAATTAGCTGTGGAAATTTTCATATATGTAACAAAAGTTTAAAACTGCCACGATGTGATCGTCCACTCGTTAATGTATGTTTTTGCGAGATATGTATATTATCATATGACCCCATACGACCGTTGGGATTAGCTTGCAGTGATGAATAAATTAAATCATTACAGACTGTTTCTGGAAATTTGTTGTTTTTTGCCTCGTTATTTCATGGCACATGGATTAGGCACGCATATCAACGAAGTATATCGTACTTTTTTCTACAATGTTGTCGTGTTGACTTGATAAAAGTATATAGTCAATCTAGGTCAATATCTACTAGTTATTTCTTATACCATTTTTGGTGGATAGCGGGAATATATGAAACAGCTAATTGTAACTTACAAGGTATGGTTTACGAATCTTGTAAGTGTGGTTTTTGAAAACGCCAATTCAAATATTCATAAAACCGCACCATGTAGGAGTTATATACTAGTCGCTTTATATATTATATATCATTAAAGATAAAAGTTAAAAATCTATAATTTTTGACCGAATAGATATAAAAATAAGCATAGTCACCAAGTATTTTACGCTGCTTACTAATAAGAAGATAGAATTTAAAAATGGCGACCAATAGCAAAAAATAATAAGAAAATATATTAATATAAGCAAATAGTTAATATTCAATCAGATTCGAAATATATAATCTGCCATTTTTTTCATTTGTAATCAGAGACTGTCAAACCAAAATCTAAACTAATTTTCAAGATATGTGTAAATTGTAAAGTCATGTCTATACCACTGAATTTAGAGATCAATTGATGGAAAAACTCAATCCACAAGAAAAAGATTATGTGATTTATTTATAATTTCTTTTGGAACACATATGTATGTACGATATAACTGTGATAGTACATGCATATTTAATTTCAAGTACTCGCTAAAGAAAACAGAGCAGCAAATAGTCTTTGTAACATTTTCCACATATGATCTAATCCTTCATGACATCGTTCTGCTTATGTCACATTTATGACGTACGTTTGTATGTATATATGTGTTCGGCAGTTGGTGTAACAAATAAACGACAAGTAATGCCAAACATAAGAGAAAAAAGATAAGTTAAACCTAAAGACTGCTTATTTTATCGTAACTTCTCACTTTTGGTCATCCACTCGTCCGCGGCAACAACACCTTTTTTTTTTTTTTTGAAAATAGTCCTCAGCAACAAAGTAGGCGAAGTCCTATAAATTGTGTGCAAACAAAAGGCAACAACAAAGCATAAATTGTCAAAGTAGTATTCGCCAAGTTTCCACAACTGCACTTTGAGAATTAAATTGGATCACGTGTGAAGAAGTTGTTGGACTTTGTTTACATGCTTTGCATCGAGTCTTAAATTAAAGTCATTCTATGGACATTTGATAAAATAAACGGGAAATAGAGGCAAACGAA